CCCTGCTGTTCACCATACCAGCCAGAGCCTTGGCAGTCTCTGGGTTTGGCGAAACTATACGTGATTAGCTGGCCATCTCGAGCCCTACATTTTCCCAACCATCCTGTTGTGTTGGGTCCCCTTTGTGAGGAGGCAGCACCCCGCGTCACTCCTCCTCCCCTCCTCCCCTCCTCCCTCTCCTCCCTCGTCCCCCTCCTTGCTTCTGCCCTCCGCATGTCTCTGTTTCGGAACACCCCTCACACGTTTCGTGGCCCCATGGGTAGCTCCACCACAGGCCCCAGTGGAAGGGTTCGCATGGCACCACCGCACCCACTCCGGGACACCACTCACGCGTTTCGTGGCCCCAGAGGGAGCTTCACCAAAGGCCCCGGTGGCAGGGTTCGCATGGCGCCACCGCACCTATTCCGGCACACCCCTCACACGTTTCGTGGCCCCATATGGGGGCTCCACCCGAGGCCCCAGTGGCAGGGTTCGCATGGCGCCACCGCATCAGTTTCGGCACACCTCTCAGACGTTTCGTTGCCCCATCGGGAGCTCTACTGAAGGGCCCAGTGGCAGGGTTCGCATGGTGTATAGGGAGCTCCGCCGAAGGCCCCAGTGGCAGGGTTCGCGTGGCGCCACCGCACCGCAGTCGGCACACCTCTCACACGTTTCGTTGACCCATAGGGAGCTCCACCGAAGGTCCCAGTGACAGGGTTCGCATACCGCCACCGCGCCCAAGTCGGCACACCCTTCAAACGTTTATAGGGAGCTCCACCGAAGGTCCAAGTGGCAGAGTTCGCATGGCGCCACCGCGCCGATTTCGGGACATCCCTCACACGTTTTGTTGCCTTATAGGGAGCCCTTCTGAAGGCCCCAGTGGTAGGGTTCGCATGGCGCCACCGCATCCGTTTCGGCACACCTTTCACACGTTTCGTTGCCCCATCGGGAGCTCCACCAAATGCTCCATTGGCAGGTTTGCATGGCGCCACCGCGCCGACGTGGGCACACCCCTCACACGCTTCGTGGCCCCAGAGGGAGCTCCACCGAAGGCCCCAGTGGCAGGGTTCGCATGGCGCCACCGCGCCCATTCCGGCATACCCATCAGACGCTTCGTGGCGCCATAGGGAGCTCCGCCGAAGGCCCCAGTGGCAGGGTTCGCATGGCGCTACCGCACCCAGTCAATTCCGGCACACCCCTCACGCGTTTCGTGGCCCCATAGGGACCTCACCGAAGGCGGGGCGCACAATTTGGTATTCACACATGCATATGGTTTGGTCCTTCGCCAGGATTAGAAGAAGAAACTACCCTGGCGACGTACCCAACCCCTGCGCAATGCGGGGCATGAGTAGCTTGGGAGACGTTATACGGAGGTGATGACGTGACATGGGCGAGCGGCATTCCTGAGGCTCGCAGCCCCCCAAGGATGGCGATGTCCCGCTCAGATCTGCCTGGTGCTTCGCTCCGCTGGATCCACCAGCAGCCCTCGAAAGTGGCGACAGTCTCGCAGATCGCAGTTCCCCAGGGACGGCGAGGTCCCGCTCAGGTCCGCGCGGTGCCTCATTCCGCAGGACCCACCAGCAGCCCTTGGAAGTGGCGACAGTTTCGCAGATCGCAGCCCCTCAGGGGCGGACGGCGAGGTCCCGCTCAGGTCCGCGCGGTGCCTCACTCCGCAGGACCCACCAGCAGCCTTCGACAGTGGCGACAGTTTCGCAGATCGAACCCCCCCAGGGACAGCGAGGTCCCGCTCAGGTCCGCGCGGTGCCTCACTCCGCAGGACCCACCAGCAGCCCTCGAAAGCGGCGACAGTTTCGCAGATCGCAGCCCCCCAGGGACGGCGAGGTCCCGCTCAGGTCCGCGCGGTGCCTCACTCCGCAGGACCCACCAGCAGCCCTCGAAAGTGGCGACAGTTTCGCAGATCGCAGCCCCCCAGGGACGGCGAGGTCCCGCTCAGGTCCGCGCGGTGCCTCACTCCGCAGGACCCACCAGCAGCCCTCGCTCGTGGCGACAGTTTCGCAGATCGCAGCCCCCCAGGGACGGCGAGGTCCCGCTCAGTCCGCGCGGTGCCTCACTCCGCAGGACCCACCAGCAGCCCTCGAAAGTGGCGACAGTCTCGCAGATCGCAGCCCCCCAGGGACGGCGAGGTCCCGCTCAGGTCCGCGCGGTGCTTCAGTCCGCAGGACCCACCAGCAGCACTCGAACGTGGCGACAGTCTCGCAGATCGCAGCCCCCCAGGGACGGCGAGGTCCCGCTCAGGTCCGCGCGGTGCCTCACTCCGAAGGACCCACCAGCAGCCCTCGAAAGTGGCGACAGTTTCGCAGATCGCAGCCCTCCAGAGACGGCGAGGTCCCGCTCAGGTCCGCGCGGTGCCTCACTCCGCAGGACCCACCAGCAGCCCTCGAAAGCGGCGACAGTTTCGCAGATCGCAGCCCCCATCGTCGGCGAAGAGAGGGCAGGAGGAGGCGGGAGGCGGGAGGAGAAGGGACGCGACCACGGTGCTTTATTCAAAACGAATACCCAACCAAGGAGGGTTGGGAGAAACCGCGTAAACATGAACTTTCGGCGCTCCGCGCGGATTTCTTGGATTCGCCGTGGACCCCCCTCCCTGGCGCGCGGAGCGCGTCAGGGGCGGCGCCGGAGGCGCCGCTGGGGGGGCCCAGGTGCGGATCCAGGAAATCCGCGCGGAGCGCCCAAAGGTTCTGTTTATGTGGTTTTCCTTTTTCTGAGGATGATTTCTACATCCTTGGATACAGGGTGCTTCCTGAGTTGAACAATGGTGCAGATGAACTGCTTGCCTTGGGCCCTCGCACCTCAGGACCACGTCGTCCACCCAAGGCTGAAGAGATGGGGTACGGTATGCTCGTGCGGCGTTGGCTCGCCGGCGACGCTGGCGCAGGCGTTCAAGGTGAATTCCGCGACGCGGAAGCACCGACGGACACAGCAACGCCATTGGACCCGATTGATTTCAACCTTGAACGCTCGGGGCCGCGATCGAATCAAGGTTTAGCGATCGACGCGGTGTCAGAAACCTTTGCTCGCGCCAGCGCCGCACGAACCTACCGCAGGTGGTGGGATACTTGCCACCTGCTCGCAGACAAAGTACAGAGCTGCTCTACCTAGAACCACTGTTCTGCATGCACCTGGGACGAGGGAAAGACTCGGCTGGATGGTTTCTGAAAACAACCCTCGTCTCTTGAGTATGTCACTGACATGTGCATCTGGAATCGCGCGCCAGATACAACAATGGGAGTCCTAAATCCGTAGCTTTTTCCATAACCAGCTCCCAGGAAAAAGAGTCACAGAAGTCCGGGACATCCCACATTCGACCAGCATGCCCGAAACCTGGCTGCATTGAGTTCTCCGCGCGTTCATCTTGAAAAGACCGCCACAGAGCCACTTTTCGAGCTGATGATCTTGCCACGCCGTGTCCCAGTGGCCGGCTTTCTCTCTCTACACCACTCGGACTTCTCGCAGTTCTTGAGCTTGCCCCTGCGCCTGGGCAGCCAGGGTAGCATACCTATAGCTCTATCTGCCTCTCTGTTCACCATTTGCAGCATTATTATGACTGTCAGGCGTTGCCATGGCCAGCACGCCTGGCCCTCCAATGCCCGAAAGAGATTCGCAAGCTCCGAAGTCCATGTCGGCGGCAACAAATTTGAATCGTTCGTGCACAGCTGGTCCACTCCATTGGCTGTGCTCGGTATCCTAGCAGTGACCTGGCTGACATGGATGGGCTCTGAAGGCTGCATGGGCTTTCTACAGTGGAGACCCATGCTAAGAAACACCCCGCTTGCCTCCAGGCTGCCCTGGGTCTCTTGAGCTTCGATGGTTTTGCAGCGGGAAACGTGACGTTCCCACATCAAAAATCAATGGACGTCCTGGTGTCTTAGGGTTGGGTTTCTTGTGGAAGGTTTCTGAGTACGGGCACTTGCTTGCGCCTTTCGCACAGCACGCCTGCCGCAGGGCCGTGGGCCCCAGACGCCCCCCTGCTTCCGAGCCCGTGGCCCCTCTTGCAGCCTCGTGCGGTGGATGGTCTTTGGGGTCTTTGGGCGCGGCCTCTGAACCTCCTCTGCACTCCTCTCCCACAGCAGCTGGCCAGGGCTTGAGCATTTTGTGCATGCCTCCTCCTCCCGCCAAGTCCTGCCTCAAGACCCATTCCTCAAAACGCTGCTGGTCCTGATGCTGCAAGGTCCTGTGTGCTCTGATGGCCTTCCTCTTTGCCTGGTCTGAGGCATCAACAATATCTGAGTACGTGGCCTTGTCCAGATTTGCAATCCCTCCTTCCACAACCTCTATCACCTAGAGGAGAGAGGTATGAAGGCCGAGGAGGGGAGTTGACTCGATAGCTCTTGGACTCTGGCCAACAGCGACTCGAACCTGGAGGCTTGTTGCGATCTCGTCGAGAAAAAGATAACGTCGACACGGCGGAAGTGAAGGCAGCTGAAGGCAGCTGCTTTCCCTTCTGGCTTGAAAGCGAACCGATGTTTTACACCGTTGCCCCTGAACCTGCGTCTTTCCTCAGGTGGTATCTGGTGCACGAGAATGACAACCCTCGATCCTCGAGACCAACTGGTTGTAGAGAACGCCCCCCTTTAACGCCCCTGGTGGGTCAGACTGAAAGACAGTCGAGCATCTGATGTACCCTGGTGGATCACCGAGGGCTTCATGTGGTCTCCAAGGGATTCCTCGGGTGCTCCAAATCAAGTCCAACTGTTTCGCTGAGAGGTCGTGCAGGCAATGCTCAAAATTCTCAACCTCGGCAGGCTGCGCTTGAACGTTTCCGTCTTCATCATCCTCATCTCACCCTTTCGACCCATCTCCCTCCGAGTCCTCTCACTGAGCGGAGCGGTCTTATTGTCAGAGAGGCTCGACTCGCGGACCTTCAACGGTTTTATTTTTCTTTGGTTTCTTTTTGTTTGTGGGACTGCGCTCCTCCTGACCCCTACTCCCTCTTCGTCGCCCTTCCCTCTTCCCTCCTCCCTCCTCCTCGAGGAGTCCCGATCGGCCGGGCGCCCCCGCAGGAAGAACGACGAGATCGAGAAGCTCATCAAGGAGCGGCAGCTCGACCACAACTGCGCCCTGAAGCTGCGCTCGCTGACGCCCGCGCAGCAGAAGTTCGCGCTGACGATCCCGCTGCACGAGTGCGCGACACTTATGCACGCCATGGACCTTGATTTAAGTCGGGCCTGTCTCCCTACAGGGGGATTTTCGACGAAAAATAGAAAATACCAGAAAAATAGTCAGAAAATAGTCCAAAAATAGTCTGGGGACTATTTTTGACTATTCTTTGACCTTTTTTTTTTTTTTTTTTTTTTTTTTTTTTTTTTTTTTTTTTTTTTTTTTTTTTTTTTTTTTTTTTTTTTTTTTTTTTTTTTTTTTATATAATATATATATATATATATATATATATATATATTTGTTCGAAGATCCCCCTGTAGGGGGACACGCCCGACTTAAACCTTGATCGTCCGTGGTTCATCGATCCGTCGTGGACGTCGGGGTTCCGGCTCGGAGGGTAGATCAGAATAGCGCTTGCGCCTGGGAGTGTTCGGGGCAGTGCTGTTGTGACGTTGGCGGTGCGCTGACAAGACGGGAGTGAGGCTTGAGGTTCGCGAAGGCAGGTCGGGCACTGTTAAGGCGGAGGACGAGAAGGCGTGCGGGTGGAGAGAGGGATCCCCGCGAGCCCACCGCCGTCTTGTGATCGCATGCTTGCTACGCACGTGCATGTGCGTGGCCCATCGAGTCCTTCAAATTCTGAGCGGACTTAGTCATGGGTTATAGTTACATGAGTTTGTACATATACACACGCGCACACACACACACCTATATGTATATCTATGTGTATATATATAGAGGTATATTATATTTACACAAGACTGCAGTGGCGCTTCGCGCCATGCACCTTGGTCCTTGGAGCTTGGTATGCAGGCGGAATGGCAGGAAGGTCAAGCCGACAATTTAGCGATAACTCCTTGTTGCCCTTTCCAGCATCGCCACTGAAATGATGTGATTCGCTTATAGGTCACCCAAGGAAGGCCTACCCTAGGGCCTACCCCTAGGGCTACCCTAGGCCTACCCCTAGGGCCTACCCCTAGGGCTACCCTAGGGCTACCCCTAGGGTCTACCCCTAGGGCTACCCTAGGCCTACCCTTAGGGCCTACCCTTAGGGCCTACCCCTACTGCTACCCTAGGGCTACCCTTAGGGCCTACCCTAGGGCTACCCTAGGGCTACCCCAAGGGCCTACCCTTAGGGCTACCCTAGGCCTACCCCTAGGGCCTACCCCTAGGGCTACCCTAGGCTTACCCCTAGGGCCTACCCCTAGGGCTACTCTAGGTCTACCCCTACGGCTACCGTAGGGCTATCCGTGGGGCTTACCCTAGGGCTACTCTAGGCCTACCCCTGGGGCCTGACCCTAGGGCCGCCTTTGCCGGAGGAGAAGCACGACGAGACGAGGAGGAGGAGGAGGAGGAGGAGGAGGAGGAGGAGGAGGAGGAGGAGGAGGAGGAGGAGGAGGAGGAGGGAGAGAGGAGGAGAGAGAGGAGAGGGAGAGGGAGAGGGAGAGAGCGGAGGAGGAGGAGGAGGAGGAGGAGGAGGAGGAGGAGGAGGAGGAGGAGGAGGAGGAGGAGGGAGGAGGACGTAGTGAGGAGTAGGGGGAGGACGAGGAGGAGGAGGAGGACAAGGAGGAGGAGGAGGAGGACGAGGTGGCAGCCCCGCCTGCGCCGCCCTGGCGCCAGATGGCGCCCCCGTCGACCGTCGATCGGCTCGGCTTTGCGTCGTCGTCGTCGTCGTCGTCGTCGTCGTCGTCGTCGTCGTCGTCGTCGCCGTTGCCGTCGTCGACGCCGCTGCCGCCGCTGCCGCTGCCGCCGCCGCCGCCGCCGCCGCCGCCGCCGCCGCCGCCGCCGCCGCCGTCGTCGTCGTCGTCGTCGTCGTCGTCGTCGTCGTCGTCGTCGTCGTCGTCGTCGTCGTCGTCGTCGTCGTCGTCGTCGTCGTGGTTGTCGGTGAGTCGATCGGTCAGACAGCCGGGTCGGTCGGACAGTCGGACGGTCGGTCGTGGTCGTCGTCGTCGTCGATTCCGTGGTGATCGTCGTCGCCGCTGGCCGTCGATGTCCGGCGTCGCCGTCGCCGTCGGCCGTCGTCGGCCTAGGGAACCCCCAAGGGGGGGAGGGTCTGTGAGGGGGGGGTCCCAGATGGGGGGTCTGTGAGGGGGGGTCTGCGAGGGGGGAGGTCTGCGAGGGGGGAGGGGGTCTGCGAGGGGGGGGTCTGTGAGGAGGGGGGTCTGTGTGGCGCGGGGTCTGTGAGGGGGGGGTCCCAGAGGGGGGGTCTGTGAGGGGGGGATGTCTGTGAGGGGGGGGTCTGTGAGGGGGGGGGTCCAGAGTCTGCGAGGGGGGGGTCTGCGAGGGGGGGGTCTCCGCCACAAAGGGCACCAATGTGTAATCCGCCACACAAGCAAGCAGTGCCTTTAATGTCCCGCCCGCCCGCCCGACAAAAGGAATCAGCTTGTAATCCGCCACGGTAGTAATCAACTTGTAATCCGCTGCCAAGTGAAATCATTTTCTAATCCGCCACCAAAGCAATCAATGCATGTAATGTCCCGCCCGCCCGACCAAAGGAATAAGTTTGTAATCCGCTGCCAAAGGGAATCCATTCGTAATTCACCACATAAGCAATCATTTCCTTTAATGTCCCGTCCGCCCGCCCGACAGAAATAGTCAATGTGTAATCTGCCACACAAAGAATCAGTTTGCCATCCGCCACACAAGCAATCAATGCCTTTAATGTCCCGCCCGCCCGCCCGACAAAAATAGTCAGTTGATTATCCACCACAATGGGAATCTACTCGTAATCCGTTACCAACGGGAAGCAATTGGTAATCCACCACACAAGCAATCAATGCCTTGAATGTCCCGCCCGCCCGCCCGACTAAAGGCATCAATTTTTTGTAATCCGCTACCAAAGGGAATCAATATGTCATCCGCCACCAAAGCAATCAATTCATTTAATGTCCCGCCCGCCCGCCCGACCAAAGGAATCAGTTTGTAATCCGCAATAAAAAGGCTACCCCTAGGGCCTACCTACCCCTAGGGCCTACCCCTAGGGCTACCCCTAGGGCCTACCCCTAGGGCCTACCCCTAGGGCTTTCTGGGGCTACCCCTAGGGCCTACCCCTAGGGCTACCCTAGAGCCACCCCTACGGCCTACCCCTAAGGCCACCCTAGGGCTACCCCTAGGGCCTACCCTGGTGCTACCCCTAGGGCCTACCCCTAGGGCTACCCTATGGCTACCCCTAGGGCCTACCCCTAGGGCTACCCTATAGCTACCCCTAGGGCCTATCCCTAGGGCTACCCTATGGCTACCCCTAGGGCCTACCCCTAGGGCTACCCTAGGCCTACCCCTGGGGCCTACCCCTGGCTACCCTAGGCTTACCCCTAGGGCCTACCCCTAGGGCTACTCTAGGTCTACCCTAGGGTGTCCAGTAGGGCCTACCCTTGGGAAGCCTAGGGCCTTCAGTAGAGCCTACCCTTGGGAAGCCTAGGGCCTTCAGTAGGGCCTACCCTTAGGAAGCCTAGGGCCTTCAGTAGGGCCTACCCTTGGGAAGCCTAGGGTCCGTAGGAGGGCCTAGGGTAGCCAAGGCCCCCGGTGATCTATACCGTTATTCGTTATCCTTCCTCCATGTTTCTTTTTCCTCATTCTCGCTATACCCTGCGCATTTTCCCCATTCTCCTCAGCTCTTTTTGCGGAGGCTCCTCCTTGGAGAGCCTCTAGGGGCTTCACACAAGTTTCAGCTTTCTTAAGGCCTTCTGGAGGCCTCCTGGGCGTGTTCTGGAGGTTCTGGGGGCTTCCTCGGGCCACCCTGCCTCCAACCGCGGTCTCCCTGAACGACCAGGTCACGATTTGGAATGCTTCGGAGGGTGTCTTGGGGCCGTCTTGGGCCGCCATGGGGCTCTCTTGGGCCATCTTTGACCCCTGTTGTGCCGTTTTGGGGCTCTCTGGGACTGCCTGGAAGCCCTTTCGGATGGTTGTGGGGCGATGTTGGAGCCTTCCAGGCGGCTTCGGACGCCGAGAAGACTGCCGTATTGGAGCGTCGGGAAGCCGAAAAGAGGAGAACCCCCAAACCCACTAAAAACTTGCAGAAAATTATTGATTTTTGCCTCTTGGGGCCTTCTTGGGAGTGCTCTTGGAGGCTTTTTGAGGCCTTTGGGGCCGTCCTGGAGGCCTCTTGGGCCATGTTGAGGTCACGTCGGTCACTCTTGGAGCGCTCTTGTGCTGTCTTGGGGGTCTCTGGGACGTCTCCGATGACCCGGAACGCCGTCCCTCTTTGGTACCCCATGTGCGCCCCACTGGGCTGGATCCCCCCTGACAGCCTAGGCAGGGACATCGATGCAGTCCGACTCCCATGGGTGCTCTGCGGCGAAGAGCCATCGAGAGGCAAGGCAGGGGCGGGACAGACTCGCGCGGCGCTGCAAGGACTCGCCATTCCCGCCCCACTGCCACGGACAGGGCCAGGCCCCTCAAGCGCTGGCGATGCTGCCGGCGGAGTCCCGGCTGCTTCGCGGGCCAGAGGGCCAGAGATCTTCCGCCTCCCAGCTGGCGGTCCCCCTGGCGAGCCGGGCGCGCCGCCGCCCCGCGGCCCTGACAGACTGGGGCCTCTCGCTCTCCCGGGCGACGGCCCTCCCGGCCTGCGCGATGCGCGCGCCATGCGGGGCGTTCCTTCCTGCCAGTGGCGCGCTGCCCCCGTGCAGGCCATCCCAGCGCCCCGCCGGGCCCGCGCCAGGGTCTCCCACCCTCCCCCGCAGGTGGCGGTGGGAATATCGCGCCAAGGGCTGGGAGCTATACCAGATCTACTAGAGCGAGCTCGTGGCCGGATATGAGCCTGAGGACGATGGACCCCCCCAAGGCGCGCAACGAACTGCGCGGGAAGGCCGCATGTGCCCTGGGCGTTACCATCCACGAGCACGGCCCTCGATTCCCGCGCCCCGTCGTGCAGGAAGAGGACCTCCAGCGAAGACTGAGGGATCGCCGCGATGCTGTGTGGGGGTGCTGCGCCCTGTCCTGGGATGGCGACTGGCGCATTGACTTGGACACAAAAGACCTCGAGGACTCCGCTCTCCTGCTCTCCCGGCACTGCCCCGTTGCAGGACGCAT